GCGCCTCCGGGGCTCCGCTCTCTCCCCTCGCCCCCCTCTGCCGCCCCCCCCCCCCCCCCCCGCTGCCCCTCCCCCCTCCCCCCTGCTGCCCCTCCCCGCTCCCCCCTGCACACTGACTTGCTGCACATGGGGGCTCCCACCTGGGGCCTGGCGATGCCCCTCCCTCCACCTGGAAGCCCCCCCCCCATAGCCCCGTGCTAATCCCCCACCTTCAAGTCCTTGCTCAGCTGTCACTCTGCAGTGAGGCCTACCCTGGCCGCCTTATTGAAAATTGCAACCGTCCACAGCTCCCCTTGCCCTCGCCCGGCCTGACGGACTGTGCCACCATCCACATCCTGTCCGTGTGCCCGTTTCACGGTCTTTATCTGTCTCTCTTGCTAGAGCGTAAAGTCCATGAGACGAGGGGTTATTCTATCTGGCTCATGGCAGTGCCTGGCTCATAGGAGGCAATAAACACGCACTGAATGAACGCATTAATACAAATTCAGTGAGTGAGTTCTAATGGAAATAAGCCATGGAAAGCGAAGAAAGACGTGGATTCCAAACCCAAGTCTGCTGTTTATGTGGTAGCTGTGTGATCTGGGCCTTTCACACTTGAAAGGGGAGAACACGGCCTCGGGTGATCGTGGCGATGGGCCTGCCATCACGCTGGGCCCACGCTCATAGGAGAAATGAAAACACGCCGTCTGGCTCTATTGACTGCATACAGCAAGGAGCTATTTGGGCTGGGAAAATAACTAGAAGTAGGGAGGTCGATAAATAGGGGGTTACAGTAGAAAGAAAGAGAAAGCACACTCAGTAACCCCATGCCTGGGGAGGGGAAATACGCCCTCCCCACAGTTAATCAGCTCCGCCTCGCAGCAGCAAAGGAGCAAAGAGGTTCAGAGCCATTAGACCTGTTCCACAGGGCAGCGTGGAGCTGAGCCTGACTGCCCCCCCCCCCGCCCCGAACGCCCCTTCTGTCCCCGATTCCCCAGCAACCTTCACCTGCCAAGAGGAAAACCGAAATATTCAGCTAATGTTCTCATGCTGTCACTCTTCACCTCTCCCGTCGTTCCGAGCTTCTATTAATAGACTGCATTTGGGGACCCAGAGGGGCACACCCCTTGCAATAGGCTCGAATTTCAAAAGTCTCATTTTGAAAATGGTTGATGAAATTGATTAGATTTCGTATTCCATCTTTCACTGAGAAATTCACATTATCTAGACATGGTGCCTATTATTCAATTTGTACATGGAAACCCAAACTTCCTGCCTAATTTTGGTTGTGTCATGCTGGGTTTTTTCTAGTGTATAATAACGCCATCAAAGTGAAAACTATGGAAGTTCAGAACAACACCCCAAGCCCCTGAAACCTGACGTGACACTTAAATTTCCAACCAACCTTCTAGAATTCCACTTTTCTTCCTTGGTTTTATGCAAATTCCAGATGCTGAGGATTTATTTATGTGTTTCTTTAATAGCTTTTCCTTGAAATGCAGAGAAAGAGGCTCTTACGTCTTCCTCCGGTGTCGCTGAATCCCAGCTGGCGGGTGCCTGATATGTGATGCTGAACGGTGACAGTGACCTTGGCCCGCGGGGAAAGCCCGAGCTTGAGAGGCACTTAGGCGCAAGGGACCCAGGGTGATTGTGTCCCCCAGGTAAGGAAGCAGACGAATGTGTCCTGTGTGTCATGTATGAGCACAGATCCCATACTCCCCGCAAAGCTAAATCATTATTCGTGAAGCGCTTGCATCGGGAAGACGCTCAGGGCACATGTGTATTATTCCAGCTGGACGGAACGCACAGAGACAGGACTGAAACTGGAGGGAGATAGTTGCGTGCTGTCTTTCTCTGATGAGCTTTCATGAGTAGACAGGCGAGGACGATACAAAGCCCTGAATCATCGCATGACGACACCGGGCCGACAGGCAGAGCTGGTTTGCTGCAGGCCCGGAGAGTCCTCTGGGCTGAGATGTAGTCCTCAGTGTTTCTGGTTGTCATCTTCCTTGTCTTTTTTTTTCTTTTAAATTAATTATTTGTTTATTTAACCTCTTTATTGGAGTATAACTGCTTTACAATGGTGTGTTAGTTTCTGCTGTATAACAAAGTGAATCAGCTACACATATACATATATCCCCATATCCCCTCCCTCTTGCGTCTCCCTCCCCATCCCATCCCACCCCTCTAGGTGGTCACAAAGCACCGAGCTGATCTCCCGGTGCTATGCGGCTGCTTCCCACTAGCTATCTACCTTACATTTGGTAGTGTATATATGTCCGTGCCTCTCTCTCACTTCGTCCCAGCTTACCCTTCTCCCTCCCCATGTCCTCAAGTCCATTCTCTACGTCTGCATCTTTATTCCTGTCCTGCCCCTAGGTTCTTCAGAACCACTTTTTTTTTTTTTTTTTTAGATTCCATATATATGTGTTAGCATATGGTATTTGTCTTTCTCTTTCTGACCTACTTCACTCTGTATGACAGACTCTAGGTCTATCCACCTCATTACAAATAGCTCATTTTTGTTTCTTTTTATGGCTAAGTAATATTCCATTGTATATATGTGCCATATCTTCTTTATCCATTCATCTGTTGATGAACACTTAGGTTGTTTCTGTGTCCTTGCTACTGTAAATAGAGCTGCAATGAACATTTTGGTACATGACTCTTTTTGAATTTTGGTTTTCTCAGGGTATATGCCCAGTAGTGGAATTGCTGGGTCATATGGTAGTTCTATTTGTAGTTTTTTAAGGAACCTCCATACTGTTCTCCATAGTGGCTGAACCAATTCACATTCCCACCAACAGTGCAAGAGTGTTCCCTTTTCTCCACACCCTCTCCAGCATTTATTGTTTGTAGACTTTTTGATGATGGCCATTCTGACTGGTGTGAGGTGATACCTCACTGTAGTTTTGATTTGCATTTCTCTAATGATTGGTGATGTTGAGCATCTTTTCATGTGTTTGTTGGCAGTCTGTATATCTTCTTTGGAGAAATGTCTATTTAGGTCTTCTGCCCATTTTTGGATTGGGTTGTTTGCTTTTTGATATTGAGCTGCATGAGTTGATTGTATGTTTTGGAGATTAATCCTTTGTCAGTTGTTTCATTTGCAAATATTTTCTCCCATTCTGAGGGTTGTCTTTTGGTCTTGTTTATGGTTTCCTTTGCTGTGCAAAAGCTTTGAAGTTTCATTAGGTCCCATGTGTTTATTTTTGTTTTTATTTCCATTTCTCTAGGAGGTGGGTCAAAAAGGATTTATGTCATGTGATTTATGTCATGTGATTTATGTCATGGAGTGTTCTACCTATGTTTTCCTCTAAGAGTTTGATAGTGTCTGGCCTTACATTTAGGTCTTTAATCCATTTTGAGTTATTTTTGTGTATGGTATTAGAGAGTGTTCTAATTTAATTCTTTTACATGTAGCTGTCCAGTTTTCCCAGCACCATTTATTAAAGAGGCTGTCTTTTCTCCATTGTATATTCTTGCCTCCTTTATCAAAAATAAGGTGACCATATGGGCATGAGTTTATCACTGGACTTTCTATCCTGTTCTATTGATCTATATTTCTGTTTTTGTGCCAGTACCATACTTTCTTGATTACTGTAGCTTTGGAGTATAGTCTGAAGTCCTGGAGCCTGATTCCTCCAGCTCTGTTTTTCTTTCTCAAGATTGTTTTGGCTATTCAGGGTCTTTTGTGTTTCCATACAAATTGGGAAATTTTTTGTTCTGTGAAAAATGCCATTGGTAGTTTGATAGGGGTTGCACTGAATCTGTAGATTGCTTTGGGTAGTATAGTCATTTTCATAGTGTTGATTATTCCCATCCAAGAATATGGTATATGTCTCCATCTGTTTATATCATCTTTAATTTCTTTCATCAGTGTCTTATAGTTTTCTGCATATAGGTCTTTTGTCTCCTTAAGTAGGTTTATTCCTAGGTATTTTGCTCTTTTTTTTGCAATGGTAAATAGGAATGCTTCCCTAATTTCTCTTTCAGATTTTTCATCATTAGTGTATAGGAATGCAAGAGATTTCTGTGCATTAATTTTGTATCCTGCTGCTTTACCAAATTCATTGATTAGCTCTAGTAGTTTTCTGGTAGCATCTTTAGGATTCTCTACGTATAGTATCATGTCATCTGCAAACAGTGACAGTTTTACTTCTTCCTTTCCGATTTGTATTCCTTTTATTTCTTTTTTTTCTCTGATTGCTGGGGCTAAAACTTCCAAAACTATGTTGAATAATAGTGGTGAGAGTGGGCAACCTTGTCTTGTTCCTGATCTTAGCAGAAATGGTTTCAGTGTTTCATCATTGAGAATGATGTTGCTGTGGGTTTGTCATATATGGCCTTTTTTATGTTGAGGTAGGTTCCCTCTATGCCTACTTTCTGGAGGGTTTTTTTTTTTATCATGTTGAATTTTGTTGAAAGCTTTTCCTGCATCTATTGAGATGATCATATGGTTTTTATTCCTCAGTTTGTTAATATGGTGTATCACATTGATTTGCATATATTGAAGAATCCTTGTACTCCTGGGATAAACCCCACTTGATCATGGTGTATGATCCTTTTAATGTGCTGTTGGATTTTGTTTGCTAGTATTTTGTTGAGGATTTTTGCATCTATGTTCATCAGTGGTATTGGCCTGTAGTTTTCTCTTTTTGTGGCATCTTTCTCTGGTTTAGGTATCAGAGTGATGGTGGTCTTGTAGAATGAGTTTTGGAGTGTTCCTCCCTCTGCTATATTTTGGAAGAGTTTGAGAAGGATAGGTACTAGCTCTTCTCTAAATGTTTGATAGAATTTTCCTGTGAAGCCATCTGGTCCTGGGCTTTTATTTGTTGGGAGATTTTTAATCACAGCTTCAATTTCAGTGCTTGTGATTGGTCTGTTTATATTTTCTATTTCTTCCTGGTTCAGTCTTAGAAGGTTGTACTTCTCTAAGAATTTGTCCATTTCTTCCAGGTTATCCATTTTGTCGGCATATAGTTCCTTGTAGTAATCTCTCATGATCCTTTGTATTTCTGCAGTGTCAGTTGTTACTCCTCCTTTTTCATTTCCAATTCTATTGATTTGAGTCTTCTCCCTTTTTTTCTTGATGAGTCTGGCTAATGCTTTATCAATTTTGTTTATCTTCTCAAAGAACCAGCTTTTAGTTTTATTGCTCTTTGCTATCATTTTGTTCATTGCTTTTTCACTTATTTCCGATCTGATCTTTATGATTTCTTTCCTTCTGCTAACTTTGGGGTTTTTTTGTTCTTCTTCCTCTAATTGCTTTAGGTGTAAGGTTGGGTTGTTTATTTGAGATGTTTGTTGTTTCTTGAGGTAGGATTGTATTGCTATAAACTTCCCTCTTAGAACTGCTTTTGCTGCATCCCATAGGTTTTGGGTCGTTGTGTTTTCATTGTCATGATGATGTCTTCTTTTTTCCTTCTCTTATCTTCCCTTCCCTTCTCTTCTCTCTCTTTCCCTCTTTTTTCCCAGTCCTCTCAGACCAGGCATCCATCACCCAGGTGGAGGCTGGAGAGCCAGGCTGGCTCCGTGGACATGTCCCCGTGGTCGGTCCTCCTCCAGGGGTGGTCAGGGAACCACAACACGGGAGGAGCTGGGCGCTGACCTGGGCTGACTGGGCCGACCTTGGGCCAGGCTGGCTGCACTGGACCAGTCCCTGGGCTGTGGGGGCCACACTGTCCCTCAAAGGATGGGCTGGGATCCCTGGATGCAGCGAAACCACTTTGAGGCCCGAGGAAGGGGCTTCCTGGGCCCAGTGGCCCGGTGGAGGGCTGGTCCTGGAGACCCCAGGGACCACTGACACCTTCCTTGTCTTTTTAACAAGAATTCCTCCTCCTTTGGCCAGGCCTGCACGGAGAGGTTGTGGGAGGTGGAGTGAGCTGAATCGGAATGCAGACAGAGAGCACTGACTTAGCCCCGTGTCTGGCACATGGTGGCACCGGACAAGCCCTCATGGGCACCACCCCACCTATTCCCTCAGGAGAGCCTTCCAGAAACTCTGGGAAACGCTGGCTGTCCAGTTCCTGAGTCGATGGCCTCCTAGCCACGTTGTTGGGTAACCTAGGGGTGGTCCAGAGTTTCTTTCCTCTTTAATCCTAAGGACACACTCTTTTAGAAAACAAAGCTCCTTTTGCATAAAAAAGTAGTCATTAACTAGTCCTAAGCTAACCTGTTAGGAGACTTCAAGGACTTGTTGGGAGAGAATGCCTTATTTGGAACAAACATATCAAGGGAGGGTTCTGATGTTCACACCCGATGTACCGTGGATGTGATTGAGTTTCATTCTTGCAGGAACGTGCCAGGTGAATTCCAACCCGTGCACATGTAATGCATTTGCCTAAAAGACAATCAGGCAGTTTCCAGGTGCCCAAAGCCTCCCTGGCACTCGGAATATGACGAAGAATGGGATGTGGTCCTGTCTTCAGGGCCCCTCCCTCCCAAACCCCATCAGACCCGCCCCCAGTCCCCGGGACTCTCAGCTCTGCTCCTCGAGTTCCTGTACCCTCCCCAGCACCCGCCCCACCAGAGCGGTCAGCCCTACACCTCACTGCTGTCCATGAGGGCAAGTCCTCAAGGGCATAAAGCAGATGCGCCGTTTGTGTATCTTTGAAAGACTTTTCATGTTAATAAACTCTCACATCAGGAAAATAAAGTTCTTGGGGTGGCCCCAGGTCCCAGCTTTTTAATGAGCCAATATTGTCACCACATCTGCTGCATGTGGTTGGGACTTGCTGTCCTGCTTCCCATTTAAGTTGCTGGACTTTTATAGACGTGCGTCTCATGTTCTCAATTAGCTCTAAGCTTTTAAAACTGGGACTGCGCGATGTCACACTCCTCATTTTATCCCTCCCGCACTGATCATGAAGGAACGAATGAATGGGCTTGCGAGGGAATTCTTAGACCCCAGGGTACCTGCACAGTTTTCTCTGGATCAGAGTTTAGGAAATCAGGGTTATTGATGCTAATGGCTCCCTTCTCTCACTTCTTTTCCTTTCACTAGTGTGGAGAACACTGGCTTTAGGGTCAGGCCGGCCCGGGTCTAAATCCCA